GGTGTACAGATTTCTGCATCTTACTTTGAAATGCATCAAAAAATTAATGGATCAATGGATGGATATGCGATAAAGAGCCCAGGTGGTGGGTATGTGGGTGTTCACTGCCAATTCTTTTAACACTTCTGTATGTTTGAAAATGTTCATAATAAAATGTTGGCAAAGAAAATTATGGCTAAAAGTAAAATAAAACTTAAAACATATTTGTACCCATTGCTTACTTTATAGAAATACTTTTTTCCAACATTAAAAGGAATGCAACTTTCCTCCTGGTGCCTTTTGGATAATTTCATTCACAGTTCTTCATGTGTGTGTGTGTTTGTCAGATGTATGCCAGCCCTTGTACCCATGTGTTTTTTTTTGTTTTTTTTAAAGAAACAACCAAAGATGGTTGCTAGATGGGAGGGGGGTGAATATGAGAGAGAAGGGAAGGGGCTTAGAAAGCACAAATTGGCAACTACAATATTGCCATGGGGATATGAAAGACAGTTGGGGGAATATAATCAATAATGTTGTAAAAATTTTGTAGGGTGTCAGATGGGCACATGTCTTATTAGGGAGACCGCTTCATGGACGGTGTAGATGGCTGACCACTGTGCTGTACAGCTAAAGCTGAAGCTGAATAATGTTGAATGTCAACTATAATTTAATATATAGATAGTTACAGGATATGGAGTACAGCATAGGGAATAGAGTCAGTGGAATTGTAATTGTTAACGTCAAGGAACAATAGATTGGGGAGGAGGTTATCACTTTGTAAGCGGTGAAATTTCTAACTGTTATATTGTTTTGTACACCTGAAACTAATTAAAAAAAAAAGAAATGATCAAAGATTTTTGTTTTCTATTTTGGGGTTTTCTGTTTTGTTTTTTATTAAAGTATGGTTGGCATACAATATTATATTCGTTTCAGGTGTGCAACATAGTGATTCAGCATTATAAATGTGGGGCCAACCTAGTGGCTCAGTTGGTTAAGAGTTAGCTTAAGTGTGAGCTTGGAGCAACAGGGCTGCCAGTTCGATTCCCACATGGGCCAGTGACTCTGCGCCTGAGCTGAGCTGCCAACAGGTGGCAGGATGGCTTAGTTGGTGGGAGCACGTGCTCCTAACAACAAGACTGCCTGTTCGATGGTGGGCTATGCCCGCCTGCAACTAAGACTGAACAGGGCACCTTGAGCTGAGCTTCCAACCTGGATAGTTCAGTGGATAGAGCATGCACTCTTTTTTTTTAGAAGATTTTTTTATTGGGGAATTGGGGGAAGGGGAGCAGACAAGTTGCTGTTGTTTTGTTCTTCAGTCTAGCTGTGGAGGACGTTGCTTCACTGGCCCAAGTTGGCACCATCATTGCGCTCTTCCCGAGCGAGGCACATCAGTCGCCAGCTTCTGGACGGCCGCTCACTGTGGCTGCTGGCCGCTCACGCTGGCTGCTGGCTGCTGGCTACACACGGTAGCCCATGGCAATCCACTTCCACAGGGGCTGCAGCTTACATCGTCGCCGGCGACTCATGGCAGCCCAGCTCCAGGTTGAGCTGTTGTTCAGCATCTTAGCTGTAGAGGGCAGTGTCACTGGCCCTCATATGTGGGATCCNCAAGCCAGCTCTTAACCAACGCGCCACTCGGCCAGCCCTAAATAAGGGCCTGTCTTTATTTAGTGCATTAGTCTCTGAGTTTAATAGATGTTTCATGAGTAAGAGGTCCCATGATCAGATAAGTTTGAAACATGGTATAGTTAAACATGTTTCTTATCTTTTAGTTAGTGAAGTATTATTGGGTAAATTCTCTCTTTCCTTTTCCCCCCACCTCCCCCACCCCACTCCAAATATTTTTGGTGAAACACGCTCTTTGAAATTGCTATAGGAGTTAAGACAATATTTTAAAATCTCATTCTGAATCAGATTACTGTATGTGTTAATTCCATTCAATTTACTCGATAGACACTAAACCATTTCTTTATGACTTTAATGTTTTCATTTTCTCACAACTTTTCTTGCACTCTTTGTAATTTATTAGATTCTCAAAGTGTGGTCTGGAGACCTCCAGGTTCCCTGAGACCTTTCCATGGGGTCTGCTAAGTCAGAACTATTTTTGTAACACTAAGGTGTGATATCCCTTTTATTCTCTTATTCTCTCATGCGTATACAGTGTAGTTTTCTGGAGTCTATGTGATATGTGATATCTCAATAGATTGAATGCTGAAAAGAAAATCCATTAGAGATTTGTAAAAATGTGAATCTTCCACTCTTCTTAGCAATTAAGAATTTGTTTTTTAAAAAGAAGTAGTTATTTTTCATTAAACTGTGTTGTTTATGTTAACATGTAATGAGTGTTGTCAAATTTGAGATTAATGGAACAATTATCCAAACAGCATAATTGGGAGATCTAAGATCCACATTCTGGAATGGTTTTCAGTCAGGTGAAGTAGTTGTGGCTTGTTACTTTCTCTCTAATTTTTAACATGCCATATCAGTTTTACAAGATTGTTTGAATATAATTGGAATGCCACAGGAAAGGTGCTTTAGATTTTGGTTTTAAAAAGGTGTCACATAAATATCAGTAGATCATGTGAAATTAAAAACCATTGGCTTTACTTTTAGGATACATGTTATATAATCTGCCTACTATAAGTAAGTTAATAACCTGGCAGTAAATATCTTTGGCTATTAAACTATGTCTCATTTTTACTGTAATTCTTAAGTAGTTTGGCAGCTTTTAAAAAAATTTTTGTTAAAGAATTTTTATAAGATTTTATTTGAACTAAACTGATGACAATGCTGGGAAGCAAGATCTCAAATGCTTCTCTGGCAGCTGTTAAAATACCTGGAAACTTTTTCATTTTTGTGCATCAGTTAACATCAGATTTTAACATTGGATTTTCAAGTTTAAAAGAAGGCAGACTCTAACCTTTGATATAAGCTCACAGGATTTAATTATCTTTCCACCTGTTGCTTGAAAATATTAAGTAATATTAAAATGTTAC